TCAGCACAGCCTCCCACACTGAGCCACATCCAGGATCTCCAAGAGCTGGCCATATAGCACTTCTTGTGATCCAAGTGCTCTGATCCACCATGCCCTTCTTTACTGGGGAAAAAATGAGCTAGAGCTGGAGAACAACAGCCATTAACTATCACTGCCACTTCCAGCTCCTCTTAGTTCTATGCTAAAGTCTTCTCTAACAGTGAAAATCCTGGGAGATAAAGGGCCAAGCTACAGAGGGGTATGAGGCAGATCACCACCTGCCCCTATTTCTAACAGGGACCAAATCTCATCTGAAGAGAGAAGAGTGGTTAGCAGCACATACTCAGCCCAAATGGCACTGCAGGCTCACCAGCACAAAAGCAATGGCCATTCAGACACAGCAAACCCAACTGTTTGGCAACACCCACCCCACCCAAGACCCCATTTCAGTAAAAGAGGAAAAGACCCACCAGAAGAGAGAGCGATTCACAGTTTATCATCCATTTTGTCCATTTCAAAAGCCATCACTTAATTGCTGCTAGACTGACACTCTGGGCAGTCTGCAGATAGCACCTAAAAGCTTTGCCTCATGCCATTTCTGTTATGGGAGCCCTAAACCTCTGAAGTCACATGCCAGCTGCATCAGAACAAGGATACACCCCACCTGAAGATCAGCAAGATGCTGCACCATTTTTCCCCAGAGGCAGAGATGAAGCCCATCAACTACTTGTTTCTCTCTCTACCAGAATGGAAAAAGCCAGGAAAAAGTTCTATTTTAATTAAAAACAAACAAAAAAAAAGTGACTATACCTGTGGCAAAGCAATACAAAGTCACAAACAGGAAGGTTGTTCCTTTGATCCTGTGCAACACAGTTACACATCTCTGTATGCTGCCCACATCCCTTGCCCATCAGGTGACAACAGAGAGATAGAGAAGTAAGAGACAGGCCTAAATCAACATGCCTGAAGAAGCATGGCCCAAGCACAGCAGTCTGGCACACACCATAGCAGCTGAAGCAGACAGCTGGTACCTGGCCACCAGGCTCCAATTTATAAACCTCAAAAAGCCAGGAGAATTTAATGCTTTACCTAAATATCCCCACCACTTTGTTGGTTCTGTTACAACCACAGCACTGTGTTTCCTCCTCCACAAAAGACAGCAGAGCAAGTATGCTGAAGGAAGGGGCAAGGCCTGCTGCTCCTGCAAGCACATACTCCTATAAATTCCAGTGTCTTAGGACAACATTTCTTCTTGCTGTGTCCTGTCAACAGAGAGCAGGAGGGCACAGACTCCCTTCAACATAGAAATCCTACAGTTTGCTGTGACCTGTCAGGTCTGAACCATAGCCTCAAACAGGGAACCAGCTGATGAATCAATACACCAAAATAGAAGACCAGAGCCTGAGGGAAACTGCTCTCTCCTACCCACCTCTTGTTCATGGGACTTCACAGATATTGAGCACGGAGCTACTTCCACAAGTGACACTGCTGACAACATAGCAGGCACTAAACTACTGGTGGCTGTATTTCAGAAGCATGTCAGACAAATTTCTCTCCATATTCAAACACATCTGAAGGACGTAAGTGAATTCTCTGAAACACTGGAGTAAGGAAGCAGAAGTGTTTTGGAGAGTTCACTTACGTCCTTTAGATGTGTTTGAATATCAAGACACTAATATTTTAATGCTCAAGTACCCAACCAAGTAAACCTCATTCTACACTTTCCCATACATGCACTGGCAGGGACAAGGAAGAAGAATGGAAAAATCTATACATCTCCCTGTTAAAATGAAGAAAAGTAAAATGTTGTGAAAACCACACCATGAAGAATAACATGAAATATCACTGAAAGGTGGGTAAACGAGAATGTGATCGCCTCCTCCACAGGCGTCCACATTCTTCTCTTCTAGCTCTCCAGCACCTGATTCAAGACTGGTCAATCTAACCCATCTTTGCACATCAGATACCAAGCCAATACCTGACCAGAAACAAGAGAGGAGAATACGATACTCTAATAGGGTTGGTTTGGTTTTTAAAAGATATTTAATACCCAGTCAGACTGATTCAATTATTTACTCTTCAGAGCTAACTTTGAACCTGAAGGTTACCATCACACAGCAAGTAGCAGCAGTGTCTTGAGCAGACACCACTCTGGCAGACCTAGATGAACCAGCAGGCAGGGCTCTCCTCAGGTCAGCACTGCTGAGGTGCTGCCTTGGGCCAGAGAGTAGGAGCAGAGAGGGGGCACATGTATCAAAGAAGCAGTGACACTGCCCCACTCCACCATGTAGTTGGCTGCAATTCTTGACAGAGAGGGACATCAGTGCTTGGTATTCGATAATATAAATAATGATAACAAATGACAGAGTTTTCCACCTTGAGGATCTGTAACTAAGTGATGTGGCAAGCAAAAATAAAACCACAGATTTGTAGAGGAATGAGCATAGGGAATAATTTGCCACACTGGCATAATGCAATTACAAACCCACTATATTATACCCTTTGCTAACACTCCCTAAACAGTCTTTAACTGTAGAGTCAGAAAAAAAGGATGCCTCTATTTCTGTCTGTCACGAACAAACATTATTTAGTCCTAAGTGGGGGGAGAAGATGGGCTATTGTCCACCTCACCCCCTGCCCAACATCACCAGTAAACAAAGTACCTACTTTTCATTCACTTTGATTATGCACCTCAGGACCTTCCACTCAAGCAATGAAGAGGTACTTCCTATGGAGTAGGCCCCACCTTTAGTCATGGCCAAGTCTAACTTCTCCAGTTCCCTAAAAGGCAAGTCTGGGCTTACAAAGCAAAGGCTGTATACTGAACTGAAGGTCTCATTGCCAGGTCAGTTCAACCCCCAGAGCAGTGTGGACCAACAAAAGTGTAGCCAAAGTTTGCTTTTTACAGCTGTTATACCAACCTGCGTCTTTTAGGACAATGAGGATACCACACACTCATACAGCACAGACAGCCTCATTGTTGGGATTTCTTATGCACACTGTTGAGTAACTCCACCTGAATAATTTTAAAAGTCTGACAGCAAAATGCTGTTACTTATTTACTTTTAAATCAGCAGAATGCTAATGCCAAGTTAAATGCCTTCCACTCTAAAGATTAATTCAAAACACATAAAAAACCTGCCCACTAACCTAGGTAATGGGAGAAAAGAGGAAAGCTTAGATTCACTCAGAGACAGGTAAGTATGTTTTCTCTTTCCAAAAGATGTAAACCAGAGTTTCCTTAACTCCCTAGTCCTGTTCCATAAACTGCAGTTTCTCAAATACCATCTCTGAGAATTCACCTTTTTTTGCCACAGAAACCCAGGAATGTAGGGA